ACGTTTTCGTCAACGTCAAAAGCAATTAAAGGGATCATTAACTTCCGTTAGATTTTCACGTTCTTACACCGAGAACGTTAACCAGGGGGGGGGGGGGGGGTAAATTTTCATTGAGTTTGGAGCATTCATATTGACGTAGGCGGTGGGTAGGGCTTCCGAACGTGAGGGGGATTCAATGGTTTGCACCTTCGGGATCTGAATTGTAGGGAAACGATGGTGGAGGCTTGACAAGTATATTTTTGCATTTGCTGAAGTGACAGGAGAGCGGTCTCCCGACACCTCCTGGTCGGTGGTCAAGTTTTGCCATGAATGACGTAAACACACTTTGGAAAACGGAACTATTTTAAGCTGTGGGCCTGGAAAGCATTGCCAACTTTAAGTCTTGGCATCAAGGTTTCAGGTAACCGACTCTCATTCCGTTTTGTGCCATAAGGAACCAGACGCTCTTGGATTATATTATGCACTCAGCTTTCACCATAAATGTCACTTTTCAAACTTGGGGTGTCTGACCCCCGTAAAAGATATCAACACTCATCTGCTATGTCAGTTAAAAGTTTTCTTTGAGCATCTGCACCAATATTATATCGCAAAATCACAAAGTTCAAAGGTAAGTTTCTTAAAGATAAGCGGGGCATCTTCTACCAGCGAGACGAGATGGAGCCGGCGGCTCAGATGCTCTCACGACACCCACCATGGCATACTGGGGAGACGACACTTGTCTGGTATGCTCTCATGACACTTATCATGTCATACTACAGAGGCGATATATGTCTGGCATGCTCTCACGGCACCCACCATGGCATACTGGGAGACGGCATTTGTCTGGTATGCTCTTATGACACCCATCATGGCATACCCGGGAAACGACATTTGTCAAATCCTGCGTGTGCCCCTGCTAGCGAGCAATACAATTATATGAGTAATGTTAACTTTACGGTACTCAAGTCTAACAACTTTGATGGTAAAACTAAAATTTACGAATATGTTTCAGTTTATTTAAATCTCGAACCTGTACCCAAATCCCAAGCAATCCCCGATAAGATTCAACTCTCACAATACGGGGAATCCCCAGCTCTAGTTTACAAACTTTCAGAACTATTCTACAGTGCACGTCACTTCATAGCTTAGCACTGAAATTATAATACCGTAATTAAATGGCAAACGTTGTCATTTAGCAATTTTCACCTTTTGAAGAAATTTGGAATGCGTTATCAAATACGAGAAGAACAATGCAGAATTGATAGATTAGTGGATTAACACAATGTTAACATTTCCTTGCGGATTAACGGACTAACAGATTAACTTTGGCTTTAGCTCGCAGTAGCTTTTTAATGGATTCCATTGTTTCACTTTAACTTCGTTAAGCCACTCAGCGAACGGATCGCCTTCAAACCTTTAAAAAGAGTTACATTTTGGGTTAACTTTGCACATTTTTGGTCGTGGCTTGGTGAATGGATTTCATCACGTTAGGTTGCTGACGATGTTTAATTAGGCTCCACACCCGTATTCAGGGTATCTGCAAGTTTGCAAATGTTTTGACAGCCTCCAAACGCACAAACACTGTAGGATTTGTTTTTCAACACTAGATTTCGTCTACTTGTGTAAATACAAGCGTCGTGTCTGAAATCACCCTCCAATCTCGCCTTGTATCTCTCGCCGCATGATGTTCCCTGGTGAAAATGTCGGTCCGTAGCTGACGTGGTGAAGGGGCGGACATCTGGCTCTCGTGTGGCAAGTTTACGGACTTCAAGCACAGGAAGCGCTCATGGACGGCTGGCTAGTGACATCATCTGATAGCTAACCATGCGTGTCAGGCTGTCGCCGAGTGTCCGTGTCGTGGCGGCACATGTACCTTGACAGCTGTCAGGAGCAGTCCCCGCTCAGCTGCCATTGCCAGAGGTGCTGTCAGCGGTCTTATAACAAGCTATGCTCAGCAACAGCCCAGACTCAGACGCTGCCGGACAAGAGCACGCTGTAAAAAGGAGTCACTGACATTCAGTTACCTTGTGAGCTTATTTGGGGCTCCCGTTCCCCTCGGTTATCTAGTCTACCTGCCTTACCCAAAATCTACAGCCAAATGTAATGTTCTGTTTGCCATGTCTCCAGACCAATGGGACGCTACATAACCTTACCAGACTCAAAGCGGCGAAACATTGCCGGGAGAAAACAGAGAGGCGAGGATCTTCCACGTTTCCTCCAGTTCACGTCAGTGCAGTAGCCAACGCCGCTGCGCGGTCGCATGGGACAGCTTGTCTCACTTGGCGGCTGTTTTCCAACTCGTAAATCGCCCAGAGAGGCGTGCAGCCAGCGAGATGCTCTCGAGCGGCCCTGGGAGTGGCGGGCGCACTGATCGCGTACGGGAGAACGGCTGAGCGGTGTCGGTAGCCGTGGAGAGGTGCCGGTGCCGGCGCCGCGGCTCCAGGGCGCCGGCGGCGGCGGCGAACCTCAGACCCTTTGGCCCCCTGCCGGCTGGGATCCGGGTTTGGCGCTGACGGCAGGCCCGGAGGCAATCCGACCCGGCCGCACTGGCGGCGGCTGGCCCGGCGGCCGTCATCGCCAATACCGCAGCGCCCAGGTGCGACTCCGCGGATGACGACAGCGCCAATCGGAACGCGGCCATTATGAGTGCGAGGCGCCATGCGATTTATGGCCCTGAGGAGTGATGGCTAAACGGCCTGTCTTCTCAGCGGTGTGTAAATAATCTGGCCGGTCAATGCTGACAGCAGCAATAATCTATATACCGCGATGAAACGAGTGATAATAATCACATCCGAGGCTGTCGACCAATCTGCGGAGATTAGCTGTAATCTGAATCCCTCCTAAGCGGTGCTGGTGGCAGTGGAGCGCTCAGCGAATAGATCGGCGCTGTGCTTCTCAGCAGCGTGCATCTTCCACGGGCCGAGCGGTGCGCGTATGAATGCTCGAGCGCTTCGCATGAATATTTCTCAAGGTGATTTAAGCTAGAGATATTCGGTGATAGCTGAATGACCCAAAATACGTATAACTATTTATTACACTGTGCTTCTCTGAATGTCGACCATAGCCACCAAAGTAAAACCGATAATAATGCTGGGTGTTCCGATGCCATGGCAGTCTGGCAGGACGGGCCCCGCAAGTCCATACTACACGCGGCTCACGTGAGGCGGAGCTCGCATTACGCGATATGGTTATCTCTTCGGTGTGGACCAATTAGCCAAAGGTGTATACGTTGTGGTTCTTTTAGCGATTTATGAAATGGGCAACCGAAATCTGAGCAAAATCTGAGTTTTTTTTAGCGCGCTTGATGGCACCTTGATTGAAATTGATGATGCTCTGGAGGGGGGCCCACCCATCAACATTTCTGGATGTGCGCTGTAGTTATGACCAGAAAACAATATACACAGAGGGTGGCCATCTGTGATGGTTAACTTTTTTACGTTTTTGTAACTTTCCATCCAAAAACATTGAGGCGGGGGGGGGGGGAGAGGACAAGCCAACATTGGGGTAATGGCAACTCAACGTTGGAAGCCAAGGTCCTCTCAAAATAATACACATCGACACCCGTGCATGTTGGTCTTAAGAATTGGTATGTGAATCTCCCTTGTGAATATGTGACAGTGCATGATGGAGCATACAACGCCTGACATTGCTCGTCCTATTCAAAAGCCCAGTACACTCATCCACCAACTGGTTTTCAAGTGATCAATAATTTATCATGCATACGTTTTTCACTCTTTCATTCCTTTTTAATGATATTTTGGATACGACAAAGCCTATCACTGGAAGATCGTGAATGATCTACCGACTTTTGAAACAGTAACCGGGATCTTACTAATGCTACGTTTCATTATGAGCTCAGTGTTCTTGCCCTGTGCTATCGACCTTCAGTACAACAGGAGGTACCGGTGAAACAATGCCATAAGGCAAACAGGGCTATATGTGCTACAGGATGCACAAAAGAGGACTCCACTGGTCGTGTGAACCAAACCCATGGGTAGGGGCATTCATGCGGAAGGAACCTTCAAGAAATGCTGCACAATATCAACGCCGGCGCATCTTTTAGTCATAACTAGACCCACTCAGACTTCCTTCGCAATTATCATTGTCACAGAGTCAGTTTGGATCTAACCTTCCCTAAAGGTCTTCCATAGCTCAGAAAGTGTCCAAATGCAAGCGGGAATGCACAACTAACTTAGAATGGGTGATGGGTGGGTTAGACCATAGCCCCATGGGTACCGGGTGGATTGAGCAAAGGAAACTTCAGTAAATTCTTGCGCACATAACTTCAGACACCGTACCCATGCACTATAACCGTCCTGGCAGAACTTCCAAAGACTGCACGGCACTCATGTTACGTACCCGGGAACCAGCTCGCATGAACAGCATCACGCATGGGTCAAAGTTGGCCTCTGTCCTGCTGATCGAGCGGCGCCCATCTGGCACGTGATGAGCGCGGAGGGGGGGGGGGGGCTGTTTGTGCCCGCCCCGCTCCAGCTGCCGACACGTGTGGTGACGAGCGGCGCGCCCCTGTCCCGTCGGCGCCGACTCGGCAGCTCGGTCCCGGTGTCACCCGGTCCAGCGTGGGCCAGGTCAGGCCGGCGGCCGCCGCTCTCGGCGCCAGGGACCAGCGCAGCCACCGCCGCCGGCCAAACGGCAATGTTTTGAAGCGCCGATGTTTTGAAAGACTTCCAGCCACGTATGATCATCACCTGATAATCACTGCTGATAACCGTTCATACTGATAATTTTATAGGGAAGTTTTATATCAGTAACGTACTGATATAAAATGCTGCCATTACGGACCACCATTGATACTTTTAACTGATAATCATTCATACTTTTGGCTGATAGCCAACCACACTTTTGGCTGATAACCATTTACGGCCAAGTAGGGAAGATTTATAAAGGCCCACACATTTGACAGCCTCACTGACCGGGCTCGCTGAGTGTGCGTCCTCATCTTCAGCCTGTGCTGGGTGGAGCCACGCGTTACTGACTGGCCGATGGGTCCTGGCTTCCAGGCCCAGTTCGAGGAGACCGTCACTCGCTCCCGGATCGGACACGTGACTGCAGTCGGCCCCGCCCAGCCGGGCACCGAGCACGCCCAGTACCGGCCGGTCAAGCTCAGCTGCATCCCGCTGCCCACCTCTGGAGGCTCTGTCACAGGTGGGTCACGCCGGCGCCCGGTACCGGCCGGTCGAGCTCAGCTACACCCGCTGCCCATCTCTGGAGGCTCCGCCACAGGTGGGTCACACCAGCGCCCGGTACCCTCTGAAGGCTCTGTTCCAGGTGGGTCACACCGGCACCCGGTACCCTCTGAAGGCTCTGTTCCAGGTGGGTCACACCGGCGCCCGGTACCCTCTGAAGGCTCTGTCACAGGTGGGTCACACCAGCGCCCGGTACCCTCTGAAGGCTCTGTCACAGGTGGGTCACACCAGCGCCCGGTACCCTCTGGAGGCTCTGTCCCAGGTGGGTCACACCGGCACCCGGTACCCTCTGAAGGCTCTGTTCCAGGTGGGTCACACCAGCGCCCGGTACCCTCTGGAGGCTCTGTCCCAGGTAGGTCACACCGGCACCCGGTACCCTCTGAAGGCTCTGTCTCAGATGGGCCACACCGGCACCCGGTACCCTCTGGAGGCTCTGTCTCAGATGGGCCACACCGGCACCCGGTACCCTCTGGAGGCTCTGTCTCAGATGGGCCACACCGGCACCCGGTACCCTCTGGAGGCTCTGTCTCAGATGGGTCACACCGGCGGGTCTGCGACACGCCCAGTGCCCGTGCCCCACCCGACTGCCGGTGGTGGTGATGCCTCAGAGGTATTCTCAAGGTCTAGTGAGGGGCAGGGGGAGACCACACTCAGAGGGATCTCATGCCTTTCCTGAAGCAGCTACCTGTCTCCCTCGAAAGGCATTACGAATGCAATTATTGTTTTTATTTGCCGATTTTGCGCAGCAATGGAGTCGCTGCGTACGATCTGAGTAAACAAGTGACTGAAAGATGCGACAATTTTAATAATTCATTCTGGCCTATGAACCTACTCTCAACCAACTGCATAGTTGAGATTCGACTTGGAGTACGCGTTTTATGCGGCTTGTTGCTGCTATTCTCAGCACGCCACCGAGATAGCGTTCTTCCAGCTCAACGAAGGGTTTTGTATCTGGCCTGTCTCCAGGTAGGATTGCGGGAATAATTTTCGTGTGACACAACGATATGGCACGGTTGCCTATAGAACAACGTTGAAAACATGCAGTTCCTATATTAAAAGTTATTATATTAAACTTTCATTGTATTCAATTTCATTTCAATTTACTTATTTACCTGTCATGATCAGTAAAATTAATTCGTATTCGTGCAGAAAATTCAGTGGATTCGTGCAGTCAACGAATTGGGCTCAACATAACCCATTGGAAGTGATGACATCTAAACGTCATTGGTGCGACATCCTAAGCTACCCGCCCACCAGCTACCCGCTATCCTGTCAGTCCTCCCGGAGGACGAAATGACTTGTGAGCAGATGTGCAGCCAAGATGAAGCCTCCTGGGTTCTCAGCCTTCCCGGTCAAAATCGAGCGCAGCCACTCACCACGTTAGTGTTTAATTTAGTGCCGCCTTCTGGTGATCGGGAAAATACTTTCGGCAGGACATCTCTCTAGGCGAAAGGCTGCGACCTGCCGCGCTTAACAGCAGTCATTTGTTGACAATGTCAACACAAATCCGAGTTGATTTGTACGGCACGCATTTGAGTCGATTGTTTTCGGCGCATGCGCAAGCCAATTTTACGAGCCCATTCATGTACCAGACAATGCACTTTTAGCGTTTTTATGTTATGAGTAGTCCGTTCGTATTGATTAATCCGGAACTATGAATTAGGGTGGGATACCAAGGTGGCACCGCCGCCCCCGTTTCAGATCTTGGTTCATAATGTTTCCACAGATTTACCGTAGGATTTACCCACCGTGAATTCTGGCTGAACGCCTGCTTGGCAAGAGTTGGGCATGGAGTGGTTTTACACGCGAAGAAGCTGCGTGACGTTTGTTCGTGGAACTCGTCAGTTGCTATGTGGTGGGATTTGATGGAAGTTTCTGCTGGCTTAGGGATAACAGGACGGTAGTTAAGTAACCAAGATCAAGGGCAGCACTTTCCAGTTGTTTGGAGATATCGACCGGCGCGTCAAAGGAGTGCATTTCAGTAACTTGGTTACACAATTTGCTGCGTCTCTGTTGGAGCCACACCACCATATAACAGCACTAGCTCAACCCCCTCCGGCGCTACAAGACCACCGTTTCGCTAAGCTTTTCTTAGTCCGGCTTTTCGAAAAGGAAAGCCCTTTGAAATTGTCATCACAACTGAGCACCTGGTTGTCTAAGGCCATCACCTAAAAGTACTCTCAGATCATCCCAATACCCGCTGGATGACATGCGTTTGACGGGTGATGGCGGATTTTATCACCCCTTTCAGCCGCTTCGACGAGCTTCACGCGCCGCTGCCTGAATAATGGTTCTGCATTTCTGAAGATCACGCCACAAGCGCAATATCAGTATGCTGGACCAACGTCGTCGTACCAGCAATGCATGCCATTATCATGTGGTCAGTTAATGCTCAATATGCACTTGTGTCTGTTGACAGTAAGCGTTTAGTTTATTGCCCAGATCTGCTCACCCTTTACTTGTTTCCACTCCATTTGTAACCCGTTTGTGTGAAGTGGTCTCGACCAGGCCGTTCTCGATGCCACGCCTTCGTCCACCGTGTCCTGTGACGCATGGCTCCAGTCCACCTCTGCACGGGCGACAATCTGTGCCGGAGGCTGGCTGCCCGCCCTGCCCAACTTCAACCAGCTCCGTGGTGGGATGCAGGGGTCTCACCCCCAGCTCCGAACTGGTTTGCAGGCGTCTCACCCCCAGCTCCGAACTGGTTTGCAGGCGTCTCACCCCCAGCCCTGGGGTGCTTTGCAGGCGTCTCACACCCAGCTCCGTTGTGAGCTGCAGGCGTCTCACCCCCAGCTCCGGGGTGGTTTGCAGGCGTCTCACCCCCAGCTCCGGGTGAGCTGCAGACGTCAGCCATGAGTGGGCTTAATTGCCCTCTTCCCCTGGCGGCTGACCGCCCGCACAAATTTTGAAGAGTCCCCGCGCCGCGTAATCTCGATAGCGGAGGACAGCCGGATGCATGAATTCCTGTCCCCACGACTCCACTTGTGTTATCACATAGATTCGAAGTGGCCATTAGTGACCAAAAGGGCTCTAAGCCAAACCAAACTAAGCCCAACATGCGATCAGCCAATTTTGGAAGCGAAAACGTCCCGGTATCAAGCATGAACTCACTGACGTGATTTTTGAGTCATTCCAACGCCACGAGGTATTTTTAGACAGCCAAACGTTGAGCAGTTAGTTTAGCTTATTTTGAACGGAATTTGCTAGTGTTTAGTCATCCTGAACGAAAGCGGCTTGAACTGCGCACCTCCACAAACAACAAATCTGATGACCCGTGGCGTTGAGGTTGAATCTGTCATACCTGGCCTCATTGACTGCCGAGAGCATTACGCCACTTAAAGTGTTCGCAGCTCCTTCGTAGCCAGAAACTGGCCGATTCTTCTGGAATGCCCTGTTTGACCCGAGCTTTCGCGTCACAAGCACAACGCACCCACCTGAAAATTGATGGTCACATGCCCCAGTATGCCGAGGAACGGCGGCTCGGATGGGCTTGATGCATATCGATGCGTCTTTGGCAGAAGATGTCGGTGTCTAGGCCACTGCCGGCGGACGCTGACAGGTGTGTTGATGCTGACTGAACTGGAGTGGGCTGGAGCACCTCCGCCCTGCAGCCTCGGAGCGCGCCGGCCGAGCGTCAGTCATCAGACGGTGGGCTTGGAGTGCGCCTACCGGGGGCCAGTCATCAGACGGTGGGCTTGGAGTGTGCCGGCCGAGGGCCAGTCATCAAACGGCGGGCTCGAAGCGCGCCGCACGGTCCTCGCCTTACCGCCTGCTCCCGACGACCACGAGCAGTCGGACCGCTGTGGAAGCTGGGCGGCGCCTCAGGTCCCAGCGCGTCTGGCCCTTGTCGGGTGTTAGGCCCATATCACCGGTGACTGCAAGCACCGCAGCGGCGCTAGACGCCCGCCTCCTCCACTGGATTACGGCGCGTGCCCCGTCGCATCCGACGCCGCTGCACAGCTGAATCGGCGGAGGTCGTGATCCGGCAACCCGCTACCTGGCTGTTGCGCCTCGTGCCGGAGCTGGCGTCCACTCGTCGAGATATGAGCGGAAAGGGCGGCGAGATGAAGGCGAGGTGCGGCCAGCCGCTGGTGCTGACCTTCGAGGTCGGCGAGCGCTCGAGTCAGCTCGCCGCCAGCGGAGACGGTGGGTGATGGCCTGCGCGGCGGGCCCGACCTCCGGAAGGGCGCCCGAGGCAGCTCCCATGGCCTCTGGTATGTGATGGCGGCGCCACCAGTGACGCAGCACAGGCTGCCGCCAACAGTGGCAGCGAGAGCAATACGTGAATGGTTGAATTGGCCCCACCACCGGTGACGACGCCAGCCGGTTGTGGAAAATCCAAACCCAGCTTTCAAAGCGGATGTGTCCATGCATCTGGCATGTTGATTCAGTGAATAGGAATGATAATAGCGATATGCTGATACCCATTATGCAGAACAATAAGCTGGTTTCAACAGCACACGTCAGTTTTTGCTCCACGGAATGTGTTTGGTATGAACTGACGCGTTAGCCTAATCATTCGAGGGGAACATGGTATTTTACGGAATGGTATTACGATAAGCTACTGGTTCTAGCTGAGCGACTAAAAATGTTGGATGAAAGCGCCTTGCTGGCATTATTTGCACTGCGTGTGCTCCTCCTTTGCAAGCAATATCCAAATGCACATAGAGCTTATAGGAAGTGGCATTTTCGTCAGATGGAGAGATATTCAGTTATGACCTTGGATGCAAGAAGCAAAACCTCGGTATCACGCAAAACAGGTTCTGTGAAAACACCATGTGAAAAGTGGAGATCAATTACCATGCGGTCGGATGGGAGTCAAATTGATCCTCCAAAGGTTTTTCTTTAATAGTTTCCGAACGGCGCAGCGTAGCCGCGCTCAATGTTGCGTGGCTGTAGATAGCTGAATAGCGGATCGTCTGGCATCAAAAATTTATATGTACCTTGCAAGGTCGCTGACCCTTGGCAAGCCAAAGTCAGGCCATGGTTTCAGCAAAGACAATTTCTAGGGAATCGTTCAATTTAATCCAACAACGGAGTGTTAGATGAGACCATACATCACTGAAATACTTTCTTGGGCAGCACAACAATCGAGTGTACACGCTACCTTGATCTAGGGTCAGGTATGAAGGTCAGATCAAGGCCAAAACAAACCTGTTTTAGTACTCAAGGGCTTGCTGTATGGGGTAGTTTCTGGTGCCCATTTCGAATTTATGATAACAGAATCGCATTATACACCTTCCATGGGCTTTTTAAAGGTTAGAAGAGATCACTGACCTAGAATGACCCAGGTCAACATTTTTTTAGGAACGTATTGTTAAGCATAACCTTTGTCGCTTACTCAAGTGCAAAGCTCAAAGCAGTCTTTTATGATTTTGGTTAACATAAGCTTCAAAAGGTCAAACATGATTGCTGACCTAAAACGAGCATGTGACTCTTTGCTTAGTACAGATGTCTAGGTTCTGGGGGTCTTTGCAGATTAGCCTCAGATTTGACTTTGTTTGACCTTATTTGACCCGTATTTGACCTAGAAACCTCAAACTTTAACCTAAATGAGTTCCGTACAGGTCAACACACCCTGTGAATTTGGTGTCTCTAGCTCTCTTAGTTCCTGAGATCTCAGGGGTTCAAATTGACCCCCTCTCGAGCGAAGAGTACCCAATCGGCCACCCGGGCGCGTGTTAAGTTTATGTTAGAATAACATCGCTTATCCTCACGGCTTGGGTAAAGCTGGTTCACTTATATCTTGGCAGGGCACGCTATGCGGTATCACCATAGGTATAGCAATAAGTCAAGAATGAGTCCTCATTTACGAAATAGCGTGTATCGTGCGTAACATGCCGTGCCGTTGTTTGAGCCGGCAATCCCATGGGCCTGCAGCTGGTGGCAGTGCTGTGGCCTGAGTCGATTTCTGTTGCCTGCATATGTAGGCTCGTATTTTGTAGGCCCACGTACTGAGAGCTGCCGTGAGCCAGCAGTTTTTATCGCTCAAGTTTTGCAGTCTGTACGAACTCCACATTCACATCCACACGTTTTGTGGCACATGCCAGATCTGCTGCTGTTTATTAGCATGAAACAATACCTTTGTGAACAGAATAATCACATAATCATACCTGCATGCATTAAAATTGCTATATGTGTCGGTGACCTTTCTAAAGATAACAGAGATCAGTGACCTATGGTGACGATGTAGAAAACTTGTGGATCCTGGCTTGTTTTTGTGCTGGATCTGATTTAGAACATGAGCTTATGCCCGCTCGGATTATGCCGTTTGAGCTCCATACCGCTGTGTTGCATACTTCAAAATTTCAGTAGTATGGTTGACATAATCTGGAGGGCTGCCGGGTGACCTAAACGGTCCATGCAAGACATCGTTGGCCTTGGACGTCAGATTATAACTATCAGTCGTTTTTATTTCGCGTGTCTAGCTAAATTTCGATTGCGCGGCGAGGAGGCCAACCCCTTCCTCACTTCGTCAACGACGCGAGTCGAATGGCGTCAACGGGGAGTGTTAAGCTAATGAAGCGTTGGAAACGGCCTGTCTGGCGTCTGGGGCTCTTAGTGGAGTCGTTCCGCAGCACAAGAGCTGAAAACGTTGGAAAATCTGCAGTGTCTGCAAATGAATGGCATTGATCGGTTTCAGTAGAAACAATGAAACTCACAACACTTTTAAAGTTGTGCACTCTAGGCTTGTGGTAGGAAGCTATTCAGTTGCACATATTCTTGCTATTCGTCAGTGGTCTAAAATCCATATCTGTTAGATTTAGCTGTTGCGGGCTAGTATGGGCCTACAATAACTTAAACTCCTATTCTTTAAACATTTGATCCGAACCTTTTGAATCGACGGCTTTCTGGCATCAGAGCTCACGTTAAGCAGTACTTGTGGTGTAAGCCCTGACTTCCACCATCCGATCGAGCAATTCCAGGTCAATGGTAGAATCACTGTCCCCCTCCCTCTGACGTTACGTGACCTTTGGCGCGAGAGCTGCCAACGGCCACAGGCCATACCTGTGAAACGAAAATAGCGTGCACCTATATATACTCGCACCCACCTGGCCACGAGTGGATAGATCGAAAGGGTTACGCTCTAACCAACAATTATCTTATTACACATATAAATGCTATCTCTTATCGCCTGTTTGTAAATTTAGCCGAATGGACAAAAAATCAAGACACGAATGTTTGCCATTTTACATAGGGCTTATTCATTCATTACATATGCAAATCATATATATATATATATATATATATATATATATATATCGTAGATTAAACCTTTGGAATTCGTGATCTTTAGTTAAACTGTATGCTGGACTGAACCTGGGAAAGATGAGCTACGTTCTGAGAAGGGCTCCCAGATGTATGATCCGTAACGAGCTCTGAGCGCTGGTGGTGGTGACCCGCCCCTTTTGGCCGCGGGCCAACCCTGACCTATGCCCTCTGTGTCGCCAGCCGAGGTCAGGATGCCGAGCGGTGGTGTGGACAAGCCGGTGATCGAGGACAACCGGGATGGCACCGTGACCATCAAGTACGAGCCGAAGGAAGAGGGCCTACATGAGCTGCTGCTGAAATTCAACGGGGAGCACGTGCAGGGTGAGGGGCCAGGGTTCAGGCTCGGTCAGGGGCAGAGGTCACGGTCTCGAATGGCTGTGGCCTGAAGCGCGGAGACAGCGATGCAGTAACAACGCGGGAACCAACGTAGGAGGGCACACGCTGGAAAATGAAACGGGATGGGATGGAAATAGGATGCTCAGGACTGGGTAGCTAAAGCCTTCCAGCTGCATTGTCAGCGTCTGTTCTACTACATCTGCCACGACCGGGGCTCGTTCGAGTGTGATGGGTGACCCGTCAGGGCCGCCTGGACCGGGGTCGGCCGGCCGTCCAGCGGGCGGCAAGCCGATGCCACGAGCCGCTGCACCCGCTCCAGGCTTCCAGCCAGCTGCCAGCAGACGGTCGCGTATTTTTAGCGGCGGCACCTGCTGTACGGTCGGGAGGAAAACTCGGTCACGTCCACCGGCGGCAAACGAGCCGTTTTTTCTCATCCGGTCGTTGCTTTCTGGGACGGGAGGGGGGATAAGTGGCAGCGAGCCACGAACAGGCGATGGAAGAGCAGGCGGGTATTTAAAACGTGGCAGATTATTTACGACAACCTTGTAGGCTTTTGAGCAACAACCCTCGTGTCGTGCTCGTGAAGAGCCAGGACAACTCGCTTAACAATTTGCAAAGACAGTAATTTCCTCTTCACCAGGGCGAGTGCACGTGCCAGCTAGGAGTAAGTGGCCATTGTTGGCCAACACTGGATATTTCTGTACTACGTTGCGTTCAGTTCTGTCCTCGTGCAGCCAGCCCACGCCACGCCCGACGCGCTCCGTCTCCGGCAGGATCCCCGTTCAAGTTCCACGTGGATTCTCTGGCGAGCGGCTATGTGACGGCGTACGGTCCGGGCCTGGTGCATGGCATCACCGGCGAGCTGGCCACCTTCACCGTCACCACCAAGGACGCCGGTGCAGGTAGTGAAAGACTACGCGGTAAATACCACACCCCACTCTAGGCATGCCGCCGTTGCCGCCGCCGCCGCTGCTGCCGCCGCCGCCATCGCCGCCGCCGCTGCTCCGACGCCCGGCCCATGCTGTCGCCCAGTCTGCGCTTCTGCCCTCCTGCGGCTGCCGTAGCGTCGTCTTTCGCCGAGCCGCAGCGCCACCTATTTTGCGGATCCGGCAGCCGCTGCACACGAGCGCTTGGTCGTTGGAGTGGGATGTGACGTGTCGTATTGTTGGTGCTCTTCATTGAGCACACTTCGGCATGCGGGTGCTTCCATACTTGGCGAGCGGTTTCATTGCTCTTGCGCTTGGTTATTCGGGACTGCTAGGCAGACTTCTAACGTAGCCTTATTTATCCTAAAGTATACTGCATCTTGTTCATCAGCGTTGTCTGCTGAGAGCAAAAACCACGGTTTAAATCTTTTCCAAAAGAGGGTGATGGCCCTTGCTTCGGTTGTGATAAAAGTTGCCCATAGCAGAGAAAACGGCGTATACGACTGCCCACATTCAGGTGTAAGGGTACAAAATACATAGCTTTATGGCCCAGCAGGCCTGTCACCCAGTTGCATTTACCAGATTCTCTTGTGTCTTCCTGACAACCAGCAGAACAGCAACAGGGGGGGGGGGGGGAGGGTCAGAGTTCTGCCAGTGCGCCAGTTAATACGGGAAACGCATGTTGATAAATGATAGATAAACGTTTCACATATCGTACCTGGGTGCAACTGCACCCCTAGTGCCCTGCAATATTTCAATGAAAAAGTGGTGACTCAAAAGTTGCTTTGTAAGCTGCTTGACGATTGGGCGATCCATCCATCCGTCTGCCCCATGGTTTGGTCAAAAGACGTCTGGAGAGGGCTCGATCAATCAAACAAAACTGCGTAGGTTGTCTTCCAAGTAACGCTTTATGCGCTAGCGCTCATATAAGCCAAGACCTCGCAGTTTGATATGTTTGGATATTGTGTGCCACCGTGTTTGGATATTGTGTGCTCGCAATGTGCTGTAGATAATGTGCTGTGGACTGCGGGGTTGGATAAGTTACTGTGTACTACACACATTTCACGAACTTCCCAGTAAGGTGTTTTCTGGTTTCTGTTATTGTCCATGTTTCGGACAGCTTTTTGGAGTTGGTCTGCTGTGTATAATGTGTTGTTTTGTTTTTGATAAGCATGGTATTTGTATCATTATGAGTACCGCTCAGAACTATGACCTTGGCATTTCGCCGCTACCGAAAACATATTTGCGTGGAAATATTATTGTTTGTCACCAGCTGTCTTGTTCCAGACTGAACAGCACAAGTTGTCGTTGGATTGATTGTCATTTAAGGTCGCCATATGGTCATGTTATGCTTAGGAGTTTATGTATGTATTCAACTTTTTGTCCATATAACCACTAGAAATGGTTGCATTCGTTTTTTAAATAGAAATTTCGAGGGCTCTTTCTGCTCACGTGATTTGCATGAACCGGGCGGTCGCAGGCAACTGGCACTGTACTCCGCCGTATAGTGCTATATTTGCACGCATCGTTGCGTTGAGATGTTAACTTTGGCTGTGCGAGTAATTACCCAGCTTGCACAACTAGACACTTTAAACTATTAAACTGACCATACTTAACGATGCAAGTTTGAAGGATCTCCTCTCTCACGTGATTTGCACGAACCGGACACTAGCAGACAGCTGACACTGCGCTCCGGCGCGCGGTGCTGTTCAGGAGGGCTGTCGCTGGCGGTGGAGGGCCCGAGCAAGGCCGACATCAGTTGCCATGACAACAAGGACGGCACGGTGTCTGTCTCGTACCTGCCCACCTCACCCGGCGTGTACAAGATCGCCGTCAAGTTCTCCGACAAGCACATCAAGGGCAGCCCGTTCGCGGTGAAGATCACTGGTGAGTCAGGCGCAGCGGTGAAAGTCACTGGTGAGGAAGGCGTAGCGGTGAAGGTCGCTGGTGAGGAAGGCGCAGCGGTGCCGCCAGCCGGCGGTGTTACTGGCACGCATCCACAGGCGACAGTCGCAGGGCCGGTCAAGCTCGGAGTGACGCGCTCCTCGCAGTGTTGTGTGCTGGGCTGAAGTCACTGCGGAGAGGCCGTCGTGCAGTTCATCGTGACGACACTGTGACTGGCGCTTGAGTTTGGCTCTTCGCAAGGGGCGGCTGTTTCCTCCTGTGGCGATGTCAGATCCTCAGCAAGTGTCTGTCGTCAAAAACCAACCTTGTACCCTATATATGTAGCCACTTGAAAAATATGGCGCAGCGGCATCATTCTTTTCTAACGAAACGTGTCATGCCTGGACAGCTGGCCACTTCCGTTTCGATGACAAACGCCCTGCCCCCCCCCCCCCCCCTGCCCCATGAACTGGACTGCTCGATCTCACGACCGAGCTTCTCTGCCGCAGGCGAGGGACGCAAGCGGAGCCAGGTGTCGATGGGCGCCCAGTCGGAGGTCACGCTGCCCGGCAAGGTCAGCGAGAAGAACATCAAGGTGTTGAACGCCTCCATTACGGCACCGTCCGGCCTGGAGGAACCCTGCTTCCTCAAGAAGCTGACCAACGACCAGCTAGGTAAGCCAGCCGCCAATAAGCAGTCTGTGGCGACAGAGTACACTACTAAAAAAGAGAACTTGCTGAGCAAGCGCATGCACACGCCCCTGTCTGGTGTAGCTGCCCGTGTGACACTGCTGATAATGTGTGGTGCCTGTAACCGCGGACTGCCAGTCACAATGATGCATTTCAACTGACAGAGCGTCCGGAAAGTCTCGTTATTCATGTTATGAAAGCCTCATATGCAGCCGACTTAACACATTTTTTTGTCAGCTTCGCTGGGTCTTATTGAGGCCTGACATCAATTATTTTACACTTTCACCACCTGACATGAGAAGCCTGAACTGCTGGACGCCGTGAGATGCACGGTCCCCCCCCCCTCTCTCTCTCTCTCTCTCTTTCTCTTCTCTCTCCCTCACTCCCTCTCTCTCGCTGTCTCTCTTGCCGTCTCTCTCTCTCTCTCTGTTTGTTTTTCGCTCGCTGTGTATCCACCGCCGCCATCACCGTCAGGCACTTCTTCTTCACACCGCCCCGCCGCCGCCAGGCATCTCCTTCACGCCACGCGAGATCGGCCAACACCTGGTCAGCGTGAAGAAGAAGGATACCGCCATCAGCGGCTCACCCTTCAAGATCATGGTCAATCCTCAGGAGGTGGGCGACGCCTCCAAGGTGAAGGTGTCGGGCACGGCGCTCACTCAGGGCAAGACGCACGTGGCCAACAAGATCGCCATCGACACTAAGGAGGCCGGTCAGTGTCGTCGTCGGGCAATGGGCGGTGGACAGTCAGTGACGTCGTCGCTGGGCGGGCTCGGGCCGGGCCTCTGGGCTGGACGCCCCTCGCGGGGTTGGCATTGAGCTACCTACACACCGGTCACCGTCTGCGAGGCTGCGACTTTTTCATTCAAAAGGCATAGCGCTTCATACCGTCCGCATCTATCTCAGACCGTTTCATATCGTCCGCAGCTATCCCGGACAGTTTCGTACTGTCAGCAGCTATCCCAGACCGTTTCATACCCTCCGCAGCTATCCCGGACCGTTACGTACCGTCCGAAGCTATCCCGGACCGTTTCATATCGTCCGCAGCTATCCCGAACCGTGACATACCGTCCGCAACTATCCCGGACCATTACATACCGTCCGCAGCTATCCCGGCCAGTTTCATACCGTCCGTAGCTATCCCGGACCAGATTTCAGCGGCATGCGCTGCAATCAGTTGTTGCTTGTTCATTTTGAACGAGATTGCATCTCGCGTGGACGCTTATACCAGCACGGTTCTCATCCAAGAACTAAGGCCTGGTGTCAATGACGGCTGCAGACCGCTGTCAGCGTTCCTTGATGTCCATCGATTCAAGCCTTTGACTGGTGGCCATTGTTCATTGACCAAGCGCCAACCCGCTGCTAGGCTATGGTGGCGTATCGCTGTCCGTCGAAGGACCGAGCAAGGCCGAGATCAAGTATGACGAGAAAGCGGACGGCAAGCTGGAGGTTTCTTACAACCCCAAGGAACCAGGCTTCTATATCATCAACCTGAAGTTCGCCGACCATCACGTCAAGGGCTCGCCGTTCACCTGTAAGGTAGGCATTCGGGTGCCGCGAGGGGACCAATCACACACAAATGGGGCAGCTGCGTTTTTTTTTAAAGGAAATCATTGCATATTTTTAACGCAGGTCCTTGAAAGCCGATGATAGAGCACACCACACTTGTAAGTCTGCCCTTTGGTCTGAAGCAAAGTGAGCAAGTGATCAGACGGCATTTCGGGCCTTTCGTGTGTTGATGTAGAACGTGCTAGCGCTACGTTTTACATCATTCACACAATATGTGACTACTGGCACAACATGTGACCTCAACTACAAAGATCTCTTACGCACTGAGGTCATGGCAAATATCCTCATATCCGACCTAGAAATGCCGCTTGAATGGGCGGACGTTCAAAACAGTGCACACAAATAAAGCACACCCGCAAAAGCCTGCCACCAGTCGTCCTGCGGCAGCACCGGGTGCTCGCATGCAGCCGGCAAGCGCTTCATAGGACAGGCGCTTCCATAACCAAGCCGGTGGCTGCTCCCAGGTGACGGGAGAGGGCTCGAACACGCAGACGGAGCGTATCAAGCGTAACCAGGAGGCGGTGCCGCTCACCTCCGTCGGCTCCAGCTGCGCGCTCACCTTCAAGATGCCGGGCGTGTCGGCGCTCGACCTGAGCGCCGCCGTCGCCTCCCCCGGCGGCGTGGTTGAGGATGCCGCCATCTCAGAGCTCGAGGACAACCTGCACGCCGTCAACTTCGTGCCCAAGCAGCTGGGCGTGCACACGGTGTCCGTGCGCTACCGGGACGTGCACATCCCCGGCTCACCGTTCCAGTTCACTGTCGGCCCGCTCAAGGTTAGGGGCGTGAGGCGGCGTCGGCTCGAGGCGAGGCGTCTCTCGCCCAGGCACAAGGCGTGCTTGGGCTCCGCGTGGGCTCGTTACTGACGCCGGCTGCGCTTCATGTTTGTTGCATGCCCTCCCCTCTCCGGTCTTTTTTTGCGGATTATCAACCGAAGAGTGCGTGGCGACTGTGGAAGCGGCCTAAACTTACATTGTACGACAGCAGCATGCTGAAGCGGAAAGCTGCATCTGCAGCTATCCCATCCGCTGATGATACCCAAGTTTTTACATCTGGAAAAAGACTCTCCCACAGCTCATTGCTACACTAAAACACACACTTGACTCTTTGAGCACCTGGTTCCTCTCCCACGGTCTGAAAGTAAATACTGGTAAGACGGAACTTATGGTTTGTGCTCCCGTCAAAATGGCCGAGGCGTGGTTGCCATATCTATTCGGTTCCACGATGGCGCAGTGCGTGGGGGCCCCACCGTCAGAAACCTCAGCCCAGTGTTTGACAGGCACCTCACCTGGTACTCTCACTCATCTGCCCTCGTCAAAAAGTGCAGCGGTATCCTCTCACGTGCGTTGACAGATCCCACGTGATCTGCCTACCCTGGCCAATGTCTTGGTCGTCTCGCACGATCGCCCGCCTTGCCACCTAGGCAACAGGTCAAAGAAAAAATGCTAAATGCCTCCAAAAGACATTAAAGTTTGCGCTGCGCGTTGTCTCCGATCTCGCAAATTTTATGGCATATCAGACGTGCGTAAGGAGCTGGACTGGCCTACTGCCACTCAGCTTTACTAACGGTACTCCATTAACTTGCTTCGCAAAATGCTTGTTGTCGATGAACCGCAAGCTCTTGCCTCCCAGATAAGGGGCAACTCTGCTCTTCGCTTAAGCTCTGCCCGACAGGGCACTGATCTAGCTCTCTCACAGTGAGGACGGAGGTGGGTAGGCGCGCTTCCTCAGTGAGAACGGAGGCGGGTAGGCGCGTCCTCAGTGAGGACGGAGGTGGGTAGGCGCGTCCTCAGTGCCGTACGATTCTGCAACGCTTTGCCTCACTTTGTCACTCGCGTCCTTTGAACTTTTATTTGGAGAGTTTAATGACTATATGCGCGTGTTTGTATGTGCGTATTGATATATATATATATATATATATATATATATATATATATATATATATATATATATATATATATATATATGTGTGTGTGTGTGTGTGTGTGTGTGCGTGCATGCGTGCGTGTGTGCGTGCGCGCGTGAGGTATGTTTTGAGTGTGTGCCTGTGATGTTTTCCACTGCGATCGCTGCCACGAGTGTCCCTTTTGACATACATCTCCGTTTGATCTTATCGACCCGACACTCAAAGCGGTCATTTCGGGCTGGAGGGTGTTCTAGACGTCAATACAATCGTACATGAATACAAGGTGCGGGAGAATGGAAGGATAAGAGAGATAAGGTAATCACTCAACAGGTTTCAGTAGTGACTTGCAATGTGTGGGCAAGTATTGCACGCATGCCGTTTTTTAGCCCGGCTATCTAACATCTTACCTGTTCCTAAACGATAATAGTTTGTGACATTATCGTCTTTTACGAACATCTTAACCATCGCCTTTTACTAAAAACAGCAAAGCAGCACAAAAAACTGCCGTAGCTTCACAACAATAGCACTAACGTAGCGTTTATGCTATCCGCGTTTCGCATCACTGACGTGACCGTCCTGCCACGTTATCAGGACACTGTCACGAGGCACCACCCGTACCAGAAGTAGTGGCTCAGTCTGTGGCATGTTGTCATCTGTGACCAGGCTCGCCCGAGGTCATACCTTGGCCTGTGCCCTGACCTGACCTGGGACTGAGACCTGGCCTGAGCTGGGACCCTGACCTGACCTGACCTGGGACTCCGACTTTACCTGACCTGGTACTCTGACCCGGCCTGACCTGAGACTCTGACCTGACCTGACCTGGGATGTGCCCCGCAGGACGGCGGCGCCCACCGCGTGCACGCCGGCGGGCCGGGTCTCGAACGGGGCGAGCAGGGCATGCCCAGCGAGTTCAACGTGTGGACGCGCGAGGCCGGCACCGGCTCGCTGGCCATCAGCGTCGAAGGACCCAGCAAGGCCGAGGTCGACTTCAAGGACCGCAAGGACGGCTCCTGCTACGTCAGCTACGTCGTCTCCGAGCCCGGTCAGTGCTGACACATTCTAAAGCATATCAGAAAGTGGAAGGGGCTTTCTTGTGATACGGATTCAGCCTATCGAAAACTGTATTTGTGTTGATAGGTAGAATTTGCGGGACATTTTCTTCATTCGTTCAACACCCTCCCCCCGGCCATGAGTTGTTCAGCTGTACCAGCCCAGCAGTTCTTTGACGTGAGTATGACCCTTATCGCGGACAGCAAATATGATCATGTAATCATGATTTCATTGTCGCATCGTGTGTGGTCTATGGTGTCACAGGTAAACACAAAACGCTACATAAAGAAATATGTCAGTTGTTTAGGATTTGCTGGGGCTGAAAAGCTACTTTTAATATCAAAATGACCAATTCACTCAGGAAAAAGAAGAAGAAAAACTTTGCGATCTGTCTGACTACAGTAAATCAGAATACCCAAAATGCTGTCACTTTGTCAAATGATTTGTCTCCTTTTTAGTCGTCAAATTTTGCTGTCATATATTGTTTACTTTGTTACTGTACGTAATCTCGTGAATCAAATGCCGGATAAGGAAAATTAGTACCTCTTCACAATTTAACCTTGTCGAATAAGAAAATGTGCGAGAAACGATTGGATTCGTAATGCGCCTGAAGTTGCGGCATCCTTTTCGAATCACTATTTTCACGTACTGTGTGCAAGGTGTTTTTCATTGCGCTGCCATGCTCCAAAATTTTGACTTTAATTTGGGTCTTAGGGGGGTAAGTGTCACGTGGTGATACTTCCATCAGCGTTTACCCCATGGCGTTACGGCCGCACAAAGCACAATGTTACGACACGTAGAAGTTTGAATATCTCTGGTGTCTGAACTTGGCTGGCGTCAGCAGAGGTTTGAATATCTCTGGTGTCTGAACTTGGCTGGCGTCAGCAGAGGTTTGAATATCTCCGATGTTTGAGGTTGTTTCGCGTCATGAAACTGCTCTTGGGGCCAAAAGTTTCTGCTTCTTCGAGGAGAAATCAGACGCCGCGGGCAGCCGGCCGCACGGAACTGGCGGGCGCACAGGCGCCCAGGCAGCGCGGGCAGCCGGCGCATCAGCCTTCTTCAGTAGGTCTCAGCGATATGAGCATAATTTGTGCTATCGCTATTCCGTTTTGAATACGAACGACAGCCGATCACGAACGAGCACCGTTTCGCCGGCGGCATGGGCCTATTGGCGAGACCTGTTTACAGAGAAAACACATGACTTCCGCAGCCAGGAGGTGGATATACACTGACATTTTGGCAGCTGCTTACTCGTGGGCTATTTCCTATGCTGGCGTGGGCGGTGGACGCCAGTTACCTGAACATCCGTCAGCTAATTGTACCGATGTCTTCTGTGGCGGATGGGCAAGACTTTACGGGACGTTGCGCTGGCATTGTCATAAGTAATGATAGCGTTCGCTGCCAGCCATCGCGGCAGTCAGGCGTGGTTGTCGAACGCTGAATGAACGCCGCACCTTCAGCATTCTCAGAGGTGTGTAGGAGAGGCTCCGTGCCCGCCGCCGTCAGTGGTCGGTGCCTGGCGCGGCCGCCGTGGGCGGGTGACTCATCTCTTGGCTCGGCTCACAGCGATCCCTCGGGTCGACAGTGAAGCCCTCCGACCCCGCCAAGGCACACCGACGCAGCGCTGTGGAACCGTCCCGAGGCACGGGTGTGGTGGGGGTAGAGAGCTCCATGTCCGTCCAGGGGACCCATGAAAGAAAGGTTAGAACCTGACACGATTATCACGACGGAAAGGGAACGTTCAGCAGAACAGAAGATAACAAATAACTCGGAAACTGCTGCCATGGGTGTTTGCATATTCAATTCAACACTTGTTTTGGTAGCTCTAATCCTTTTTCATTTGGAGTGATGAAACTATTTAAATGGCAATACCCTCACATAACGTTGAACCATCGACCTCGACGATAGGTGCGAGCTGATGTAATGGTTAGCATATTTGCTTTCTGCCGGCGGTTTCTAAAATCTGAAATTCGGGTGGTAGTCACGTGCTTATATATATATATATATATATATATATATATATATGCATAAATAAAGTCGTAAAGGGATATGCTTTCAATGTCAGCAGACTTGCGAATACCTACAGCTGGTCTCATAATTTTAAATGTGCCCAGTTCCACGTCATTTCAATTCCCCAACTACCCGGGAGGTTCCTACATGTCGGCGAAGGTTGACCGCTCAGAGCGCAGGTGGTCCTGTGTCACGGACGGATGGAGTCCGCGCCGCACTGACGGACCGCGCCGATGACTGCTGACCCCCCCCCCCTTGCCACAGGTGAGTACCGAGTCGGCATCAAGTTCAATGACTCACACATCCCCGATTCGCCGTACAAGGTGTTCGTGACTCCGGCCAACAAGGACGCACACAAGGTCACCGTGGGTCAGCTGCCCGACGCCGGGGTCCAGGTCAGCAGTGGGCGGGGTCGATGGCGAGCTGGGTTGGGTCGCCGTCGAACGCTGCGCTGTACCGATTCAGCCAGTGACGGCATTTGACGCGCCTTTTCGTCCTACCGAGGATTTCGGGCCTCATCCCGCACAGCGCGCTCAGTCGCCCTGTTACCAGAAGCCGCATTGTACAGCGAGCTCACTTGTTTCTGCCCGATGGGGAGGGATCTGCCGAGTATTGGATCCCGTCTGGCTGTCCCAGAACAGCCTGACTGTGTAATGAGACCAGCGCCTCGTCGCGGTCTCGTCCCGCACCCGGTCCGACTGTGCTTCGCTCGGCCGGCAGGTGGACAAGCCCATCATCTTCACGGTGGACCGCACCGACTGCAAGGGCCAGCTGGACTGCAAGGTGGTCTCTCCCAGCGGGCACGAGGACGACTGCTTCGCCCAGTACCTGGACGAGGACACCTACTCGGTCCGCTTCTTGCCCAAGGAGAACGGGATCCACCAGGTGAGCGTCGCTGCCCCTGCGAGCCGTAGTTCCAAACCGCGGGATACCAGTTTGGAGGTCGCAGTTTATGAAGGAGTAACAAGTTCTCGCGGGTGCCACTGCCCCCTACGCCGACGTTGCCCCGGGTCATAGCTGTTACCCTTCCCTACACTGCTGACGTCACATCCCGAAGGGATCTTCCGCTCCTGAAACACTTTTCAACGAGATGCGATCGGGGTGGAGTGGAACGACATTTGAAGTTTCACCCCTGACACTCCTATTGGCATAACTCGCGTCATGCCGCGGATATGCATGTCCAGGCTACGGGCGCCGTCACCGCCATCCCAAAGCCACATCAGGGCAGCCCGTTCAGCCCGTCCTGTTCCGCAGCTGCACGTCAAGTGGAACAACGTGCACGTGCCGGGCTCGCCGTTCCGGCTGAAGATCGGCAAGCAGGACGCTGACCCGGCGGCCGTGCACGCGCACGGCAAGGGCCTGGAGAAAGGCCACACCGGGCACAAGTCCGACTTCATCGTGGACACGTGCAACGCCGGCGCCGGCACGCTGGGAGTCACCATCGACGGACCCTCCAAGGTAGGCACGCCGCTGCATCAGACTGGGTCTGGCTAGCGCCTCCGCGGCTGGAGTGTCGGCGCTGGGTGTCACCATTGACGAACCCTCCAAGGTAGGCACGCCGCTGCGTGAGAAGGGGTCTGGTCAGCACTTACGCGGCTGGAGTGTCGGCGCTGGGTGCCACCATTGACGGACCCTCCAAGGTATGCACGCCGCTGCGCGAGACCGGGTCCGGCCAGCGCCTTCACGGCTGGGGTGTCGGCGCTGGGTGTCACCATCGATGGACCCTCCAAGGTAGGCACGCCGCTGCGTCAGAAGGGGTCTGGTCAGCACTTACGCGGCTGGAGTGTCGGCGCTGGGTGTCACCATCGACGGACCCTCCAAGGTAGGCACGCCGCTGCGTCAGAAGGGGTCTGGTCAGCACTTACGCGGCTTGAGTGTCGGCACTGGGTGTCACCATTGACAGACCCTCCAAGGCAAGCCCACTGCTGCGTCAGACAGGGTATGGCCGGCGCCTCCGCGGCTGGAGTGCCGCCGTTGACAGAGCTACTCGGGTCGTGATGAGTGATACAGCTGGGCGGTCGTACTGGGCTGTTCATGGGTCAGTGTACAAAAAGGGGAGGTCATGCCTAGTTGTTACATAGGAAGGTCACTTGTGTTCATGTCGTCCAATCCAAGCGTCGGATTACGCTAAGACGCCGTCGTGCATTGCAAAATCCCCTGATAAGTGGCCTCCCCAGTTTTAGGTTCATGTTTTAGGTTCAGTTTTAGGTTTATGAATTGTTGTGGTTCAAAACATGTTCTTGCGCCCTCAGATCTATTCTCACTCAAGTGAGTTTGTAATTTTCATAATTTCAAGTTATTGAAACGTAGGATACCTCGCAGAAAGCTCCTGCTATTCATTTACCTTTGGTTTAGCGCATCAAATACCTACCACCACAGTTTCAGCTGATAATTGTCACCGATCTAAGACACGGCGGCGGCCACTGGCTCGCAGTTTGATCACCTGAACGCCAGTTACATGCAGTGCAGTGAGCAGCGCTCTTCGTCCGCCGCCAGTCACTTCTCTCTCTCTCTCTCTCTCTCTCTCTCTCTCTCTCTCTCGCTCTCTCTCTCTCTCTCTCTCTCTCTCTCTCTCTCTCTCTCTCTCTCTCTCTCTCTCTCTCTCTCTCTCTCTCTCTCTCTCTCTCTCTCTTTCTCACGTTCCGTGCCTTATCGCTCACACAACGCGCGCTCTGGCCAACCAACCTGGCGGACAGCGGCCTGGTCAATCTGACACCGCCCCTGGCCCGCGTGACACCGGATCTGACCCGGCTGACACTTGCGTCTGACCGCCAGGTGTCGATGGATTGTACGGAGGTGGACCAGGGCTACAAGGTGCGTTACACGCCGCTCAGTCCTGGCCACTATTACGTCGCCATCAAGTACGACGGCTACCACATCGCCGGTTCGCCCTTCAAGGTCGAGGCCACAGGTAAGTGTGGCTGCTGGGTGCTGAGCGCAGATACGGGTACTCGGCAGAATGAAGAGTGTGGTTACAAACAGTGCCAAGTGTTTAAGCTGCACGTCTGGGAAGACGGAGGTAAGATATCCATTTCCAACGGTCCCCGCGCTTTCTCCCAGGGTGAGAGACAGGCGATGCCATGTAGCCTCAGCAGCTGAGTGTGTCGTGAGGCCCTAATGACAGCAACATAATGGCAGGCGAAAGTAGATAAGTGATGGACACAAACTGACTACGTAACTTAACCCATGCCCTACTGGTTTCTCACCTTCACCTCACAAGGGCGTGCTTCAAAGCCCCCCCCCCCCCCACACACACACTTAGACTCTGCGATTAAATAAGCTAGAGTCACAAAAAAGTTCAAAGCTCTCATCAAACTGAATCAGACAGCATGCAACACTTGCTCGGACCATCCTCGTGGACTGCGTCAGTATGTACACAACGTATCGGCCAGCTAATTTTCCGGTTGTCAGGTGTAAGACATTGAAAAGAAGTGAGTGGTGTTTTGCTTTCAGCCATATGCGCGTCGCAACCCAGATTTTCATATAGGCGTCGCAACCTCAAAGCTGCTAGGTCTCGAAACGAGCGCGACGGGAGCGGCCCTCTGATCGCGAGTTCAGCTCTCTACCAAGCAGGCTAATTGGAGGGGTCCTTGTCCTTGTCCTTGACCGGTCCTTGAAGTGAACGGAAGCTGATAAAAAATGAAGCTAAAGAAAATGGTAAATCCCAGGACATTTCAGTTACAACTGGTTACCCTACGGTAGTATAATAGAAGACGTGAATGTGCTTTGAATCACACGTAACCCTTAATGCGTGGTTTCAAAAGAAACTGATCTCTTAAACTGACCCCATTCTCCAGCTCATGTCCATGGCACGCTGCTCAAAAGTGACAGCTAGGTCTGATTTATCGCAGGAGATGCGCTTGAAAATTATATCTTATTTTTAAACACATTCGCTTTAAAGGGAAGGTTCACATCTTAAGATATTGAAAAAGGAACACATATGATGAATAAATTCACTTTTAGCTATCTGTGTACATTTACGTGGAAAAAGCTGCTATGGACAACAAAATTGCTCTGTTTAGTAAATATGCTCCTCGCTGCGTTATTGTTTGTCTACAGCATGACATATTTGTATGCCGTTGAAGCACCGCCAAACTAGCCGTGCCAAATTGCCACTTGTAGCACTTCAAACTCGGCGAGAGATCCCAGCACGGGCTGAAAGTGTTTGCTGAGCCAAATATCGTTATGTGGTCGAGTTTTGCCCCTTTTCCATGGAGCTTTTGCATATTTATACACGAGTTTGTGATACCTTTATGTCCACATGCTCGGTTATGGCATTACCCTTAAGTTATTAGATTACATATCTCGTTGCCGTAATAAGTAACAAGTGAAGAAACCATGTCTAACTTCATATATTATGTAGTAGAAAACATGTTTCGTGCATTCGAAGACCCACCCTCTTATCCTCTTTCATGCTTCATCCCCTCGCGACGCCCGCTTGCCCGGGGTAGGCTGCATGCGCCAGCTGCGGGTCGGTCCCTGGAGGTGCACCCCGACTGGGCGCTCAGCGCACATCCCCCAGAGAGTCTCTGTGCGAGCTAAGCTGGACAGGTCCCCCCCCCCTCCCCAGGCGCATGTAGTCCTGCCCCCACCGCTCCCGAGTCTCTTCACCCAAAGCGAGCTAAGCTGGACAGGTCCCTCCCCCCCCCCCCTCCCCAGGCGCATGTAGTCCTGCCCCACCGCTCCCGAGTCTCTCTCACCCAAAGCGAGCTAAGCTGGACAGGTCCCCCCCCCCTCCCCAGGCGCATGTAGTCCTGCCCCACCGCTCCCGAGTCTCTCTCACCCAAAGCGAGCTAAGCTGGACAGGTCCCCCCCCTCCCCAGGCGCATGTAGTCCTGCCCCACCGCTCTCGAGTCTCTCTCACCCAAAGCGAGCTAAGCTGGACAGGTCCCCCCCCCCTCCCCAGGCGCATGTAGCCTGCCCCACCGCTCCCGAGTCTCTCTCACCCAAAGCGAGCTACAGGTCTCCTCCCCCCCCCCTCCCCAGGCGCATGTAGTCCTGCCCACCGCTCCCGAGTCTCTCTCACCCAAAGCGAGCTAAGCTGGACAGGTCCCCCCCCCCCCTCCCCAGGCGCATGTAGTCCTGCCCCACCGCTCCCGAGTCTCTCTCACCCAAAGCGAGCTAAGCTGGACAGGTCCCCCCCTCCCCAGGCGCATGTAGTCCTGCCCCACCGCTCCCGAGTCTCTCTCACCCAAAGCGAGCTAAGCTGGACAGGTCCCCCCCCCCACGCATAGTCCTGCCCCACCGCTCCGAGTCTCTCTCACCCAAAGCGAGCTAAGCTGACAGGTCCCCCCCTCCCCAGGCGCATGTAGTCCTGCCCCACCGCTCCCGAGTCTCTCTCACCCAAAGCCCGGAGATGATCACCTCTGGTCGAAAGGGAGCTGATCCAAACAATCCAGCCAACCGAGCCTTGTGACTGAAACCTGCACAGCTTGTTTAACATTGTCTGATAGGCAAATGATGTCCACTATTTTTGGAAATCGCCCTCATTGACGCGAGGTCTGAACGCCTGGACGATAATATTATTCCTGTCTTTGGAAGCCACCTGGCCTGAAGGATTGCAGCATTTCCATGACGTTGCTTTGGCGTCATGCATGCCTGGATATCCTTGAAATAGCCTGCACGTCTTCACGGGGGTGTAGCCCAGATACTAGGTGGCATTATGCCTTAAGAAGGGCAGGGCCGTGAACTGCACCGAATGATCTTCAAAATGGTCATTTCAGCTCAAAACCCCATTCAAATGTGCATCACTTCCTTTAAGGTACATTATATTAAAGTATTGCATTGGAGTTTGAAAGTTTAAATGCATCAAGTTATGCTGGCTTTTGCAAGGCCAGAACATCCAAGGTCAAGCTCAGGCAACCTTTGGCATGAGTTGTCAGTTTTAACTCTTTTGAGGTCACACGCTCTAAGCCTTGATAACACATTGTTCGACTTTGGAAGTCCTTTTTAACACTTTGGTCCATTGATGTGGCTTGCGTATTTCGGGATATAGTCCGTGGGACCAATGCTACAACCGTCCTCATCTAGCATATCACAGATCACATGTGTAGATATCCACACGTTCTTTCTAATAGAGGTTCCCAAAAGGTACTATTCAACGCTGTCCTCGGAATTGCCGTGACATTCTTAGTTCCAAAAATAACAGTGGGTGTGTGTGGGGGGGGGGGGGGGAGAGAGGGCTCTATGAAGTGCGGGTTTAACCTCTACGATCTGATACCTGTCAAAGGTCACTTTCAGGATTGCCCAGTCAAGCCTAGCTGATGCAGTTTGGTGAGATATTTCCAATGCCGTCTTTGCCTTGTTTAGTTTCCTAGAGCTCAGTGGTTTCTGAAGCGCCTCGTGGGGCGAAGATGAAACACTCCCGTAGCGCGAGGAGTAGTAGTAGCTATAGTAGTAACTAGCTGCTCATGCAGCAATACGTGAGCGTGCAAGCAAAAGTCGAGCCTGTGTTTCCCTACGAAAAAGGAACAAAACAGTCTATGTCCTTAAAGCCTCGCATACACGTCTTTTAGGCGGAACCAGACGAAATAAATGATTACGTGACTCAGCAAGACACATGTGCATCCAAAACGCATCATAATCAGGAGCGATGCAGCACTGGCGGGGCGCGAGGTGGCAAGAGTACGTCTTTCACCTCAGTTTTGGGAGGTCGTTTTTGCCCAACCCCAAGGTTTGGTACCCAATGAAGATTGCGAAAGTTCGATCAAGCAGATCCCCATAACGGAGCTTAAGAGTACCAAATTGGTCTCAAAAGACCTTGTCCTTCATCAAGAGGCCCGTTCTCTGGATCACGAGACTGCCTTTATGAATTACGTAGTTCATGTTTTTAATCAGGAGACCCAGTTCTGTGTTGAAGGGAGTGTTGCATATTTGTATGGGGGTTTACACTGAAATCGCGATCTTGAGGATCGAAGAAGAAGATCGTTCGGTGCAGTTTACAGCCCTGCCATTCTTAAGACGTAAACCCATATAGTGTCTGAGCCACACACCCGCGAAGATGTGCAGACTTTCCGGCAGACCATTTTGTGGTCACGTAAGCATCCATGACGCCATAATAACGTCATAACAATCAAGGCCCGCGAAAAAAAAGACATTGCCGAGTCGTTCAGATATGACGTTCGTGAGGGCGATTTCCAGATATAACGGCTGTTAACTGGCTCTCAATCATTGTTGTGCGGGGTTTGGATGACGTAATAAAACACTGACGCATTGAGGAACATATTTTTTTTAAACAGAGAAATTGAGTTGTTTAAGGCAACCTTCAGGAAAACTTCCTTTTTATTCCCTTTACCATTTCAGTTTTTCATTTTTTAGCATTTCCTTTAAGCAAAAAGTAGTGAAACCATCCCAGTTTTCGTCTATTGCCGTTTTTACCCTTTCCCCTCGGTTATTTCAGGCTATATTAGTCATCTCTGACTCTAATGCTGGCGGTGGAAATCCAAACCCAGCAGCACAGACCTTTTGGTGTAAATTCATTGATCATCCTCATGACATTGAAGGTTTCATCAAACATGTAGAAATGTAGATGCAGTCAAGCAGGACTGACTAAGTCGATGGAAAATTTCGTAGCTGCTTGCTGAGTCCATGACACGAACCGCCGTCGCTTAAAGCTCGCCCGAGCCAGAAAGTATCGCGTGCGTTCCAGATACGGCCCACGAGCGGGGCTGGCGTGTTTGTACAAACAACACGCTGCTGCCAACTAGCCTGGATCGGCTGCAACGGGCTGCCAAATACTGTCGATCGGAGGGTATTTTGAGGAATGTGGGTGGGACGCCGGGCGGCGGCGGCGGCGGTGGGTCGGCCGCCCGTCAGTGGCGCCGAGAGGAGCCCCCGGGCGGTTGCGCCATGTTCCAGTCACAGTGCGTGTGGAATCGGACCGGTGAGCGACCCGGGACAGCGGCCGGTGCGCCGGCGGCCGACGCTGTCAGGCGACCGACGCTGTCAGGCAGCCGACGCTGTCAGGCGGCGCCGCCCGACCACAACGCCTCCCAGCGCCTCGTCTGCAGCCGGGATGAGGGGGGGGGGGGGGGGCAGTGGTGTAGTGTCGGGATCGCGGTGCTGGTGCTGCGATCAACACGTGACGTACTGGTGAACGACCCGTGACCGACTCGGTAACAATACGCGACCGGTCATGACCATCCCGCCAGCCACCCATGACCAACGTGTGACCAGCCAGCACCCAACCATACAGTTAGCCGGCAACCAGTCCGTTAGTAATGCGTAACCGATATGTTGCCAACCAACGATCACCCGTTACCAACAAGTCGCGCCGTCGTAGGAGCCCTCCGTTGAGCTGGCCCTGGCCGACAGGTGACGAGCTGGCCGAGAAGGGGCCCAAGGAGCAGTCGTCGGTGGTGGTGGAGACGGTGAGCAAGGCCGCCACTAACAAGGAGGAGAAGCATGTCGCCTCGCTGCCCATCTTCCACTCTGACGCCAGCAAGGTGGACTGCAAGGGCATGGGTCTGAAGAAGGCGTACGTCGGGCGTCAGAATCAGTTCCAGGTGGACGCTGGACGCGCTGGTACGTGAGCCGAGATGAGCCGCGCGTGGTCAAGCCGAGGGCGATCCTCCAGCTTAAGGGTTAGGACGACACTGCAGCATGAACGCCAATGCGGCCGACCAGGGCCGCATTGGCGTTTATGCTGCAGTGCCGGCCTAACGCTTAAGCTGGAAGATCTACACGCGCTTAAGTCAGGTAGTTCAAAGTTTGTGCACCGGTCGTGGTGACCCCAGGTTGTGGGGAATTCCACAGCCATGAAGCACGACAGAAGCTCTTTTGATGCACCCACGCGTCTTGAGCCTTAACACAGGCACCAGCTGACTTGAGTACACTGGTTGTACATGGGCCGTTGCAGCCTAACTGGCGGTTGAGCCTTTTGAGCGTTTTCCTTTGGAATTTTTTGCGTCAGAGAAGCGCGAGTGGACTGAGATCCGTGCTGTCGAACACAGGCTGTTACTTAAAAATAATTGTTAGGCGGCGGTCTTGTGCATGCAGATGAATCACTTGCAGTGTGTTGTAAACGCTTTTGGCTGCTTCTACAACAGTGACTGCGGCAACTGACAGGAACAGTTTTCTTGTAACAATGTTTCTTCAAAGCAATAGTGTAAGAGAAAGCTGACGGTGATCATGTGGGCTGCGCTGTCGCCCTGGCGTTCCCTTACCTCTGACAGCTGACGCCGTCCGTCTAACCGTCATAGCCGTGCCACTTATCCTTCAAACCATCGCGAAATGATGCTGACTGTGCTGCTGGCTCCCCAGGTCAGGACATGCTGTGGGTCGGCTGCTTCGGCCCGAAGAACCCGTGCGAAGAGGTGCACATCAAGCACATGGGCCGCAACCAGTACCACGTGTTCTACACGGTCAAGGAGCGTGGGAAGTACATCCTGGTGGTGCGCTGGGGGGCTGACAACATCCCCGGATCGCCGTTTGAGATCGAGGTCTAGCCGCGCCGCCCGCCGCTGACGTCACAGCCTCGTCGGCGTGACGTCATAACGCCAGCCGACGCCGCAGGCAGTTCGGGTGCCTTGATCTGTGCCTTGGCGTGCCGCGGGACCTGACCAGGGGTGGACGAGAGTAGCACTGCCAGCGCCGTCGCCAGCGCCGCGGGGCGTCGCCGGCGCGGTCCGACGGCGCGCGTCCGCCCTCCCCACCCCCCTAACACGCCGGCGAGGCGGCCCCCGTGCCGCGCCGACACTCCAGCCGTGTTTGGAGAGCAGCCGCCCCGCCCGTCTGGCCGGCTAACTCGGAGAGCCTGCAGCAGTGGGATGGTCCTGTCTTCCCCGGCGGGCCAGCGGGAGCTCATCTGTCCTGTCCTGTGCCTCGGCGTGTTCTAACGACAGGGATCGCTGTGCACCTTATTAACGCGCATGATGTGCCCTGTCCCTCGAGTCATGCCCCCAACGTGTATTCACCGGCACGTAATTTTCCTAACCCGCCCGGACATTTGTATAACAAGAGAGCGCTACTGAGGGAAGCGAAATATAGATTTAAGGTCGGAAGAGATCGAAGAATATGCCAGCTGAAGTTTTTGCCTGGGTCTCAATTTTTGACCGAAGAAGGCTTCGAGCGCCAGATCTTCCGAGACCCCCCGGTGTGCCATTTGAGGCTGCGGTAGTCTCTAACTGCGCCCCATCCAGCTGACTAGCCCAGCTGACCAGCAGCGCGCCGCCACGGCGGCGTCGCGGCACCGTCCACCTCTGTGCTGCAGACAAGTTCGATTGCACGCCCCCGGCTCCGGTGGACTACGCGCCACGCAACTTGTTTTCTCGTGATTATTTGAAGATTTTTGTTGGTTTTATCTTCGCGCATGACACTTAATAAAAAATTAGGGCGAAAAGCTGTATCTGATAGCTACTACCGACGTAGAAATGTGAGAAAGTCGAGGGATTCGTGGCGCTTTCGCGATTTGAACTATCGCCAGCGAGCCATCTCACGCACCGACTCCTCAGCGACGCTGATCACCTCTGCTGCCATGAACTGTCACGCACAGCTTTCGCATGTTTATAACAGGAGCGGATCCAGGGTTTCGTCAGGGGGGCGGGGGGGGGGGCGCATAACAATGTAGGGCCTCTCGAGTTTGGGACCCCCGTCCGCCAAAGATCCTCGGGTTCCGGCTGATGAATTTTATAGTTCTTACATCAAACTTTTTGTACGCTCACCCATCTTACTGTTCGCAGCCGTATAAAACTAGGCATACAACGTACGCATATACATGGAGATTGACCATTTTATGCAAGCCATGATGGAACCCGTCTCTCTGAGGCTAGGCATCTCGGAGAAAACATGGCAAAATGCACTTACGTTGGCTGTCAAATACCATCAAAATCACGCACGAACCTGGTTCTTAGCTTATTTACGGCTAGCTGGCCGGTGGCTGTGATCAGCTGATGGATGATGACTAATGCAAAGCTTTTGCTTTGACTGTCATGAAGGAGTACAAAAATCCTAGCATTCAAAACACATTAAGAACGTGATCCACACGTATAGGAAGTGTCATAAACTCATTACCAACGGAAATAACATGCACGACGTCGGCGATGAGTAAAATCACGTTTGACAATTGCGCTTAAAAATGCATCGGCGCATATCCCACTGCCGCCCTAAGGTCAATTGGTATCAGGGGAAATCGTCATCCCGTGACCGCGGGCTCGTGTACGCGAAGTAGTTTAATCACGCCCATACACACGAACAGGCGAAACGTCCTGGCGCTCGCAAGCGCACGGGGGCTTTCGGCAACAGACCGATAGCCTTCTGACTTGATCGGAAGAGCCACGACCAATGTGGAGTGTCCTGGAGTGGTCAAGAGTGCTTGCTGAGTGCTTGAGTGCTTGCAAGAGTGCAAGAGTGCCGAATAAGATTTAGGTGCAGGACGGTGGTGGTGCAGTGATTAGGGCCTCGACTCTGGACCTGTCGGTCTGGGGTTCCGGCCCCGCCACGCCACTACCGCATCCCACATTATGCCTAATAAACGCACATGTCTCGAAATGTCCCTGCCAGTCGATGAGACGGAAATTCCCAATCATTATCATTAACACGCTCCGGTGGGGTCAATCTGACCCCCAAAGGCTTTTCCGGAATGGTTTTCTAACAGCGCGGCATAGCAGCGTCAAATTTTGCGTGGCGATAGAAAATGGAATAACGGATCACCTGGTACCAGATATTTACATGTATCTTGTAAGGTAAATGACCCACGACAGGTCAAAGTCAGGCCATAGTTTCAGCAAGGCCAATTTCCAGGGATTCGTGCAAGCTTGCGCGGCAACGGAGTGTTAGCCGAAGCCATGCATCTCTGAGATACTCTTTTACACAACATAACAATCGAATGAACACATTTTATTGACCTACGGTCAGGTATGAAGGTCAGACCAAAGCCAAAACCAACCTGTTTTATTTCTTTAAGGCTTGCTGTATAAGGCGGTTTCTGCTGTTCATTTCTCACTGATTGATAACAAGAACAACATTATGCATCTTCCATGGACTATCATGGACACGGTCAGAAAAGTTCACTGATTTAAAATGACCCAGGTCAACATTTTGTTTTCAGGAGCATACTGTCTAACATAATCTTTGTCGCTTACTCAAATGCATAACTCAAAGCAGTCTTGTATGATTTTGTCACCATGACCGCCAAACAAAATCATTGGTCTTTAATGAACACGTGAGCTTTCGCTCAGAACAGGCATCCAGGTTCTGGTAGCCTTTAGAGACCATCCCAGAATTTGACCTTGTTTGATCTTATTTGACCCAAAGGGTCAGATCTAGAAACCTCAAACCCTGATCTTCGTGAGTCCAGGTACAGGCCAATACACCCTGTGACTTTGGTATCTCTAGTTCTCACCCTTTCTGAGATCTCAGGGGGTCAAATTGACCCCCGTCCGCCCGAGCGAAGGGTTTCCAACCGGCCGTCCGGGCACGTGTTAAGATTTAGGCCCCCGTCGATGGTGTAAGCCATCCTACAAGATGGGAAAACTCAAGACCAATAACGACAGTACCTGAGCGGTCGGGGGTGCCGCGGCAGGTCAACGACAGGGCTCCGTCAACAGTATAGGGTCCTCAGAGCAAGCAAGAAGAACCTGAGATCAATATGGCGGAGGCCCTGAACGATCGGGAGCACCCCGGCAGGTAAATATTTGGGGTCCGGTCAGAGTACATAACCCTTTAGGCAAAAAGGAAAATGAACCAAGATCCATGTACACGAATCAATGTCCCTGTGAGATCAAGAATGCCCGGGCATGCCAACAGAAAGAGCCCTAGCAAGAGTGAAGGGTCCTCCGCAAATGAGCTCAAGGGGAAAGAGGCCTAGATCAATGCAGAGGGTCTCTGAGCATCGTGTGCCTCGGTGCGTTGCCTTATATGAACCCAACCAACAGGACAGGGCACCTCTAGCAGCTGGAAAAGCCCGATAACAATATGAAGGGCCACAGAACCATCGAGTGTACCCAGATATATGGGGCCTCGGCAATAGCGTATAGAGCCTTTCAGTCGAAAGTGAAAAAATTGTGGAGGCCCTTGATCGATTAAGAGTGCCCAGGCATGTTAGCAGATAGAAGAACCCCACTACGATAGGACCCTACATTCAAGTAGGCACTACTCAGGACCCAATGTGCAGCGTCCCGGAGCAATGAAGTGTGCCCGGTCAGGTTAACAGATGGGACCCCCGACAAGAGCGTAGGGCCCACCATTCAAATGGGAAGTACCCCTGACCCGATGTGGAGGGCCCCCGAGCGATAGTGTACCCTAACGGATTGACAGATGTGGTCCCGCCAAAAGTGTAGCCCCCAAACAAGTTAAAGGTACCCAGTACCCAATGTGGAGGACCCCCGAATGATCAAGTGTCTCCATGCAGGTTAACAGATGAAGCCCGACGAGAGCGTAGAGCTCCCCGGAAGTGGCAGGAAATTAGAATGGCCGTAGACCAATGTAGGGAGCCCATATGCATATCGCGAGTGTGTTGGTAGGGCAACCGAAGTCAATGTGAAGGGTCCATGAGAAACCTGAAATACCCCGACGGTTTAACATATGGACCCTCCGGCCAGATGTACCGCGTAGAGCCTTCCGGGCGAATGAGAAACATCGTGGAAAGCTCCTGATCGACGGGAGAGCCCCGGCATGCCGGAGGAAGGGGTCCCGACAAAGGTAAAGGAATCATGGGCAACGTGGCAGCTACATGACAATCGGACGTGCCCTGCAAATTGACATATAGGGCCTCCAGGAACAACGTAGCCCAACTGGCCAGCGTTAAGAGCCTTAAAAAATATTAATCACCACCCTGTCCATCGGCACCAGGGCTGGTTCGGGGAAAGCTTGAGAAATACCAAACATTTTCTACGCCGGTTGGAGAAACATTGGGGCTTCCCACGTCTTACCCAACCTTCCCGATGTTTCCCCCCGCGAATTTCTGGTTGGGCACAGTGTGCTCAGAGCACTCATGGTTGTCATGGTTGTCCTACAGCATAGCGATGACGTCACGTTGTAACAGGCTTCTAGTAGGCGCACTCGACAACATGAGCAAGCACAAGTAGGTTTGGTTTGGAAAGGGCACGAATTGGCTTTAGAGTCAAGGCAACATTACACACAAAAAACGGTGTCTGCAAAAAGGCCTACATTTCATCTGCCCCCCCCCCCCCCCCTGACCCGGTTGTGCCTAGAACTACAGCCTGGGCCACCGCCATGACCTTACGGATGTCTGCCGCTCTGTGACCGTCGCTGACGGTTTCATCAGAAGTTTGTGCAAGACGCGGGTCAGCTGGAGACATTGCAAGCGTTATCGTGCAGTTGGATGGCGCTCACCCGACGCCTGACAGCTGGTACGGTCCTCGTCAATGATTTTGATCGAAGATCTGCATTTTCGTCTTTATGGTGGACCGCGGCTGGACCATGAACTACCGACAGGGGCGACATCTCGTGTTGTTGAAAGGCAGGTCGAACTCTGCGCTATTTGCGTCAGAGGTCGCTTTGCCCAGTATACTGTTTGCTGCAATGTGTGGGCAAGGCAGGTAGGCGGGGCAGCATTTTTGGGGGGATTTAAACGAAAGAGCAATGGCTGCAGTGCAGTGCAGTGCCTGCCAAGGCATATCAAGACCAGTGGCGCATAGGCAGACCTGTGGTCGACTCCAGCAAAATCAGATAAGCAGCCAGCATGACTGTAAACAGAATGGTTGACAGTTTGCGCAGCGATGCAGCCAGAGTTGCCGAGGTGCAGTGTTGCAGAGGTACATCATGCATCCAGGGTGCACGCGAATACATCGCGCAAACGTTCCGCAGTGAATGATGTAAGCTTGCCAATGAGGAGCGTAATTTATCGTTCGTTTTCAACGCCAGCAATGTCGGCAGATGGGTTTTGCTAAAAATAAATATAATGGACACCGACTAAAACTCCATCCCATGTTAACCCCAGCTATTGTCACGCACGGAGAATAGGTGGCGCCACCGCATACCGAGTACGGCCGAGTCCGTAGCCGGCACCCA